TTTCTAGGAATGCAGTGTCTGTAATGCCACAAATAATCCTATCTCTTATCAGAGATTTTGTCAAGTTCCCAAAATGCAGTTCTTATTCAGTGTCTTTAGTTCAGTAACATACTGATCTATAGTTTGTTTTGGTGTTGACACATAAAATGGTGTCTTTCGAGAGTCTCATTCTTTTTTTGGCATGCAGTGATCCTCAAATTTGGACAGTATTCTACTTAGTTTCATATTTTGACATTTTTCAGATGTAAAGGTATAAAAATAACAAGGGCTTCCTCCCCAACAATATGTAAGAAGATTGAGGGTTTGACTGCCACTTTTCTCTTCTGCCCTGTGGTTGCTAAGTACCACTCAAACCTTTGATTGAATTGCCTCATTTTCTGTTATACTGCCTGAGATAAAAAGAGCATGTGGAGATTGTGAAACTTCATTACCTTAGTCTGTTGTTCTTGAACTATAGTCCTTAGTCTATAACTGGAAGATCACTTACAGTGGCCATGTAGCTGCATTGCTCTGCTTGCTCTCAGGTTCCAGCTTCTTTCATTCTTACCTGCCACTTCCTGACACCATCAGGGCTGGCCCATCCTATCTTGTGGAACCTGTGGCCACAGGTGGCCCTGCAGCCAAGGCCCCCCTGTGGCCATTAACACTCCACCACTCTGCATTGCCTACTCCCTGCCCCCCTCCCCCCACTGGGTTCTTCACATCAGGGGGCCCAAAAAAATTATGGGCCAGCCCTGAATACCATGTAGTGATTACTAGTTGCAATAAATATAGGCACACAATGAAGGCTTCTTGTACATATTAAGTGATAATAGTAAACTCTACAAACACTAAAAAGGTATATTTGTGTATTCTGTATTCATTGGTGGCCACCAAACTTCTTATATCTAAGATGTACCTCTCTGTCTGCTGTTTTCTAAAATGTCTAATGTTAAACTTAACCATCATGCATTATAACTCGGAATAACACCAAAGATTGTCACAACAACACAATAAAGAGTTACGAAATCTTACTATATTTGTGTTGCATTCAGATATAGTCACATAAGCTATTTTTAGCTCTGAAAATGTACTTTTTAAAGATAAAATATTACTTAGGAATTGCATGGGGAATTTTTTACTGTGAAAGAAAACCTCATAATCCTCTGATCTATATAGAGGCCCATCACCAAGGAAAATATGAAATCTAGGTAAGTTCATTTAACAGATACCTTGGTCTCTGCAATGTCCAGAAAATATTATATTTTGTAGACTGTTCTTTACATACCAACAAAGTGTATTGTTACTCTTCTTGACCATGGTGACTAGACAAAATCCAAGGCCTTTTGGATCATTTCTGCTAGGAGGATAAACTGATAGTAGCTAGCTATTTCTTTGCTGTGATCCTGTCTGTTTATGAAGAATGTAGATAAAACATAGTTGGAAACAAATAGCAAGAGACAGCTTCTTTGTTAACAATTCCAACCTCTTTTCAGCCAGGACATTAACCAATAGATCTCTTTTGGTTATTTCTCAAGTACATACTCAATTCTTCCCTGGATGTCCTTAGCTTTCTTCATCTCTTTGTTCCTCTCACATACTCAGACACATAGTTGGAGAAGCACTGAGGTCCTGGAGGGGAGGGGAG